AATGAATAATTGATAATTTGAAATAGGAAGAAAAGGTCCAAAGGGGTAGGGGAAGTGGGAGAGGAAGGGGAAAGGAAAAATTATGAGAAAAGGAAAAAATGAAAACAAAGTCTTTGTAAATAGGGAAGGCTGGAGGGGGTGAAGGGAGGACAGGGAATGGGGAAAAAATAAGAACTAAGATACATCATGTACAGGTACAAGCATCCAATGATAAATGTAAACATATTGTGTACCTAAAATGTATCAATAAAAGAATTTAAGCAAAAAAAAAAGACATATTACAGTGATACATGCATATCCATAGCTATAGCAGCAAAACTCATAAATTTTGGAAGCAGCCTGTATGTCCATCAATAGATGAATGGAGAAAGAAAATGTGATATTTATACATAATGGGGTACTACTCTGCCATAAAGAAGGATAAATGAGTCATTTGTAGGAAAACGGATGTACCTTGAAATCACAATGTTAAGTAAACTATATCAGACACACAAACTTAAATATCACATGGATTCTCTTATATGAGAAACACAGTATATAAATGAAGTGCAAAATAAAAGATGGATAATAAGAAAAAAGAGAGAGAAAAGTAATCCAGCACAGAAAACATTTCTAAAAGTGTACCTTGATTTAGTATAACTGTCTTATGTGTTTTACGTTTTTTGGCTTATTAGTCTGGTTGTTAATCTGTATGCATGATAATTAACTTTATAAGAACTTACAAATAAATTAATCTGATGCTGGCAAAAAATGGGGGGATGAAGAAGGGGAAAATAAGAATCGAGATGTTTATGTATGTGTACCTGTGCTCACAATGAATGTAATCACATACTGTGAAGAAGGGATTACTCTCCCGTCTTTTGAGTGGAAGGGGTCTCCTGGTACCTGTGTGACAATCACATCTGCCACACAAAGGTGAGGAGCAGCTGATGAACTTTTTCTGATGTGAAGCTTGGCCAAAACCAATGAGAGATTAAAGACTCACTATGCACAGAGAGATAAGAAAGCCAACACATGAGAAAAGTGTTAAAATTATATCTTCTAGTCACAGGGTGGGAAGGGTGGAGGCTGGCTTTTTTTTTTTTGGTACTGGGGATCGAACTCTGGTCCTTGTGCCTGCAAGGCAGGTGGCAGAACCACTGAGTTAAATCCCCGGCCCCTAGACTGGCTTTTTGATTTGTGCCACTTAAAAGAGAAAAACTGTGATACTGAACCCAAAGTTGGGGATCTGCTCTCAGTCTTGCTCAGAGTGTTGGCAGCCCTAGTTTGGCTTTGTCTCTTTTCACCTCTGTCCACTACTCTTTTCCAAGCTTAGTATTTTTTAGGCTACAGTTCACTTGGATATTTTCATATACAGAACAGATTTTGCAGTGAGTATTAAAAGCATCAGCTGGGACAGATCACTTTCAGAAGCAGTTGTTGAAAAGCCTGTACAGAGCTGTACGGGGACAAAGGGTCTGGCCAATAAGCTGGGCACACTGTTAAACCCAAATGTTAATTCCGGAGACCTGGTTGTGTGGCAGCAGCAGCAGCAGCACTGCTCAGTAGACCTCTGGCATCTCCTTCACAGACATCTGAGTTGCAGAGGGGTTGCTTATGGCTGCACTGGTCCCCATGTGTGGTGACATGGACAGCTGCTCAGTGAGGGCTGGTGCTGGCCTTTGAGCCAAGGCTGGCTGTAACCCCATGTCCACCCCTGCAGCCTGTGCTGCCAGACCAGGAGTGGGCTCCAAGGCTGCACCCGCTTCCCCAAGGCAAATTCCCTGGGCTTCACAGCTGAGCCCAGGGCACCACAGGTCCTGGCTGCTCTAAAAATAAAGTCAGAGTTTGGAGCATGTTTTATAGCCCAGAAACGAAACTTTCTGCTTTAACATTCTTACAAAAATGGAAGTCTCCTTGTGTCAGAGAATGGTATAAACTCACTCCAGTGCATTCCTCTGGGAGAATGTCCTTCCTGGAAGCTGCTATCCCTTCTCCAGCTGGTTCTGTAAAATATGTCCTAGACAAGGACAGAGTGCAGGAGAAGGCGGGGAGTGAGGGCACTGCCTGGCTCTGGGGTAAAGCAGGGAGCAAGAGGGACACTGTGGAAGCAGGAAGGGACAGCTGAATGGAGGGCAGTGGGAGGCAGTTGTCACTGGAGGCTTCCTCACCTCAGAACTGCTGACCCTGAATGGGTTATACTCATTTAACAGAGAGGGGAAAGAGATGTGTTAGTGTAAGATAATGGCATCCTACAAAGAGGAAAGGGATTAATTATGGGATAAAGATGCAAGACAAAACCTAGGGAAAATGGGGAGATGGCATCTCTGAGGCAACAGGTCCAGTGGGTCAAATTGGAGGTGACAGGTAGTGTGGGAAAGGGCAGAGGTGCAGCATGAAGAGCAGGGGTAGGTGAGCAGTGGCTGGAAAGGACTTGGCGGTCCTGGGTGCTGAGAACTCTCAGGTGGTTCAAGGAGATGGCTTGTTCATGTTGGCTGGGGATTTCCACGAGAAGAGGCTGAGTTTTGAATTCTCAGGGATGGTTTTATTCGGAGTACACTGACTAATGGTTTATGGCTCAGCAAAAGACAACTTATTCAGGAAGTTTAGCTAACATGAACATCTTCTACCCAACCAATTTAACTCTAAAACCAGCCAATAGGAAGCACAGAAGCCCGTGGACTTGGGGAGAAGTTAGTAGACAGAAAGGAGAGAGAGAGAGAGAGAGAGAGAGAGGAAAAATGGAGGTAGAATTTAGAAGAGGAAGACTGGGAAAATTCAGGCATCTGAACAAAATTAGCTTTGGTTTTGGCCAATAATAATTATACTACTATCTTAAATTTATATAGCCCCTATTTTCAAGGAATTCAATTTTTAAAATCTAGGTAACTTAAACAAATTCTTAACAAAATAGGCTTTGAGATTCATCTAACCACATAAAAAAAGAAAAAAGAAATCAACAACCATGTTATTGAAGCAAAACCTCAAATTGCTTTAGTAAACCCAAATTCTAGTTGAGGTAAGTATCTTTCATTCTTTCAGTAAAGAGCCACTGGCCATGGGTGGGAAAACTGAAAAACAACTGGACAAGTTGTATTGACCATATGAAAAGTTAGCAGTGAAAATTATAAAGTTCACCAAGCTTTCTGTTTAGCTGAAATCCTCAGTAACAAAACTAATAAGCACAACCATTTCTGGGAAGTTATACCCAGCAAGACAAAAAATTTCAGTGAAGATTGAAGTCTGCCATTTCTTTTGTTTCTCCTGTAGTTTCGTGTGTTGTTTTTTTTTTGGTACCGGGGATCGAACTCGGGTCCTTGCACTTGCGAGGCAGGTGGCAGAGCCACTGAGCTAAATCCCCAGCCCTCTCCTGTACTTTCAATACATCTTGCCTATGCCATCTTCATGAGAAAAATCCTAATTTCAGGTTAATATGGTTGAATCTTAAGTATCTATCACAAATATCAAGCATGAATTCTACAAGCAGCAGCTATTTTCCTAAGGGACATTTCGATTCTGACTACCATGAGAAATACATGTTCAGTGAAGGTAAGTAAATAATCATGACAGCAGTTGGAATGAAAATGATCTTGAACCTCCCCAGACTATTGCACCTAGTAACACTTAACACCGTAGTATATAGACCTGCTTCTCATCAGGTCCTTCAGTGATGTCTCTTAACTTGCTGGCACAGGAAGATGGTGGGCCACCTTCCATTTGGCAAATCATCTCCACATTATGGGCGCAGAAGGAATGCTAGTGACACCATAAATAACTAGGGACCTGTGCGTCTGTGCGTCTGTGTTCTAGGTACACCAGCATCTTACCTCCTGCTGCAGGACTCTTCCTACAAAAGGATATGTCCTGTTGGAAGCAGAAGGTGGTAGAATTCCTCTCTAACCCTCTTCTCCCTAACCAAATTACCCGTAAAGGTCAGCTGTCTGCTGTGACGTCATCTCTACCTAGAGGCAAGCAGAGAAAGAGTCCTGTCAGCTGCACTCTGCCCATTCCTGCCCGGATTGTTGTCTTGCCACTTAGTGAAGGCAGTAAGGTAAGTGTCCCCATAGTGCTTTGAGTCTATCACCACTGGGCCAGGGAGAAATCACACTGTCCAACCAGCCAATCTGCTAATTCACACAGTTCACTCACTTTCATTCATTTCTTCTTCTAGACAGTGTAAAACTACAAATAAAAGGTTGGACTACTCACAGGTAACATACACATTTTTTTGGCCAGGAAAGAAAATACACATATGAAACAGAGCTCCTAGAGATAGCATTGAAAAACCAAAACCAAAACCAAAGTCAACAAAAGGATTGTAAATAACATAGAAGACCAAAATTCCCTGAAACATAAGCACTTCATTAAGATTCATTTAGTAATAGCTCTACAGCTTGAACTGAGAACACAAACAGTAAATCCATAAATACTGTGGGTTTTTGTTTTTTGGTGTTGAATACTTGTACATGCTAACTAAGCATGCATTCTTCAACGGAGCAACACTCTGAGCCCAATAAATATCATTTTTTTGTTTTGTTTTGTTTGCAGCGCTGGGGAATCAAACTTAGGGCCTAGAGTATCTAGGTAGGTACTCTACGATTGAGCCACACCTCCTAACCCCTAAATAATGTTTTTTCACATCCATATTTTCAAAACACTACATCTTAAACAGATGAAAAATCTTTAAAAAATATAAATCAACTTTCAACAAAATTTTAAAGTACATTCATATATATTACTTCTCAAATAGCTTTTAATTAAAACAACCAAGAGCTATTTTACAAGTATCTTTTTCTGTACTTGGTGAGCAGTAGTAACTTAGCCCAAATCTACTTTGACCACCAAGATTGCTAGAACTTGAAAAAAAGTTTCCTTGATATTTAAAATCTTAAAAATCAAATCAAATATTAAATATGAAACATCAAACCAGTTTTTGAAAAGTGAAAACAAAAATCACATTTCTAGATGTGGTGGATGCGGCTCCCTTTGTTGTAGATGACAGCCACTCACCAACCATGGCGCTAACTTCCCCAGCCATCAGCGTGTCCACGGTCTCGTTGTACAGGTTCACGTCAATAATACCTTTCCGTATAGTCTCTCCTACTTTGGCTCCCAACAACACAGAGCCAGTGGTTTCAAATATTGAAGCCAAAATGCATGCCTGCCTCAAGGTTACCACACCAGAGCCCACAGCGGTTCCAAATGAATTGGCCACATCATTTGCACCAACAGAAAATGCCAGGATGAAAGCTATAATAAAACCCAAAATGACCATCCACAAATATTCTTCCATGGCCATTTTGGAAAACAGGCTCTGGGTACTTTTCTTTCGCAGAATATTTTAAATAAACAAAGCTTGAGGTTATAAGCTTTGTAAGGCTGAGAGTTCTTGTAAACAGTGAGCTTGCTCTGGAAAGTGCTGGACAGTGTCAGCGCCTGAACAAACTGCTAACTGCTGGCTTTCAAACTACTGTCAGGACAGTTCATTTGGTTGTGTTCAGTCAGCAGTAAAACACATTCCATATTTTTTCTCCCAATCTGGGAAAGCTGTGATGTTTCCTCCTGTAACAAGAAAGAAAACAAAAGAAATCAATTATCCCGAGCAACCTGTAACAGTCTGTTCTTTCAGAAATGAATGTTTTAAGCCTGCTAATGGGCTCTTACTTGGGCATGTGACAGATCTAACCCTAAAGTAATTCAAGAAGATTATAATTAGGCTACCTCCCCCAATCAAGAAATAAAACCTGAAAAACAAAGCTGGCTTCTAGACTGGGAGAGGTTGAATCATGCTTAATAATTACAGACTGACAGTAAGCCTCACTAGGTAAAGTTTTTATGCAATTTGAAAGACATATTAGGCCACTATTTAGAGAGGAACAATTGTCTCAAATGAATGAAAGATCAAGAATGAAATAGGGCCGGGGATTTAGATCAGTGGTTTTGCTGCCTGCCTCACAGGCGCAAGGTCCTGAGTTTGAGATAGTAAAGTTCCATAGTTTTTCAAATATGAGGAATCTGCTTAGTTCCTTGGAACACTGCCAACCAGGTCTGACTGACAGCAAAAGGTGTGCGCACTGCCACATCAGAAATGAGCACTTCCTGTCAGGAGTGATATGTCTCCCACTATCTCAGCAGCTATTTTATGTATAGTAGCTGCCCTCTTCCTATTGTGCCTTGTCCCCTCCCCTGTGTGACATCACACCAAGATGGTTGCTCCCACCAAAGAACAAACCCTTCTTCCCAGCATGCCCCTGTTCCCACCTAGAGAGTAACCTAATATTCGCTCACCTCCTACCACCTAGTAACGTCACCGGCTCCTCCATTTCCTAGTCACTCTCACTCAATCCCACCTCAGCCCCTACAAACCCCACTCCAGTCTCTATAAAAGACACTCTCTGCCCTGGCCATATGGCCTTTGTCTCTCCTTTGTTTAGAGACAGCCCAGCAGATCTGTTCCCCTAATAAAGGCTTTGTGGCCTGGTCTGGTCTTGGTTTTCGGCCTTTTTACCTGACAAGGAGTACATCGCCCTATGCCTGACACACAGTTTAGGAACTCTGGTACATGGTCACTCATCCAGAAGTTGATGTAGGTGGGGAATGAAGGGCCTCAGAGGAGGGATGGTGCCTGCTGGAGAAGGGAGCCATCCTGCTAAGGCAGGGACAGACCTCAGCAGGAAGAAGGGCTGGGGCCTCAGGCTGCTCTGACCCCTCACCAACCCACTGAGCAACTCTCACCACACACACTGTGACCTTGGGGACTTTTGTACCTGAGAGTCCTCCTGCCAGAAAAATCTTCCTGATAGCTGCAATCACTCTTCACTTCATTCAGGTCTCTGCTCAAATGTCACTGCCAGGGGAAGTCTTCCCTGACTTTGGAAAGGGCAGCACCTTCCCAGGCCACTCAGCATCCCTCTTGGCCACCTTTGTTCTTTTATCACTTGGCTCACTCACTCACTCATTCATTCTTATTGGTCTGTGGTTTCTCACTAGAACACAGAAAATCTCCACTGTCCAATCTCTGCTATGTAGACTACTGCCCAGCATGGAGTAAGCCCTTATCAGTCTGTTGAGTAAATGAAAAATGCTATTAAACAAATGGAGAGAAATCTCACTTATTCTTTCTTCCAGGGAGGAGAGAAGATGCCACAAAATATATCAATATATCAAAATAACGTCACTAAAATCTGTTTTTTCATAATGCTAACTGAACTGAATTGACGAATTAGGCTCGCCTAACGTCATATATAATACTTTGATCAAATCAACACTGTGGTATTTAGGAAAAATTGGGCCATAAAATTTTACATACATTGTGATTAACATTCCTTGTTAACAAACAATGCATATAAAAGATCAAAAGGTGTCTGGGGTTGTAGCTCTGTGGTATGGTGCTTGCCTAGCATGAAAAAGACCCTGGGTAAAATGTCCAGCATTGTAAAAACAAGCAAGCAAGTAAACAAACAAAAACCACCAACAACAACCAAAACTCAAAACAAAATATACTAAAACTGTAACAGAGGTTGAGTTTGAGTGATGTGATAATTTTTCCTTTCCTCTCAAAACTGTATACTGTTTTTATTTTTAAATGAAAATAATAAATAACAAATAAGTCAACAGACATTTTGAGTGCCATGTATTATGCAATGTTACAGACATACAATTAAATAGAAAACATACACTAATAGACCTTGTCATTTTCCAACATTTTTAGCCTATGCAATTCTGAAGATTTGGATGCCAAGTGAAACAAATAAAAAGACCACTCTAAAGGCAAGAGATAATATTCCACCTAAAGAGGATGTTATTAATATGATGGGCACATTAAATCTATAGATGAAAATCAGAATAAAAATATTTTGGGCCAATGTTATTTAAAAGTATAAACAAATTCTTGATGAAATCTTGTTTGCCAGGCTAGGCTGCCAGCAAGGCAAACAGGAACAACATTCAGCAAATATTTATGGGAAACTTTCTTTGTGCCAGTCACTGGGAATACAATGATGAGTAAAAATGATGTGGGCTTGGCCCATCTGGGGCTTACAGCTCAGGGAAGGAAGCAGATGCCAATCAAATGACCATGGAAGTGTGCAGCTCTGTGCTGTTCACAAGTGTTAAAGGGAAGGAGAGACAGTGTCACGAGAGCACAGATTGGGCCAGGACCTTCTCTGAGAGAGCAAGACAGTTTCCTTGCAGTCTAAGGCTGGTGGGACTGAACCCCGAGCCGGGAGAGGCATTGTGCTTTGGAAGGGGAAGAGACTGGGGCCCATGAGGGAAGCTGTAATAAAAACTGGGGGCCCAGACAGCCCAGGGCCACCAATGAATAATGCAGCATCAATGAAAGGTCCACTCAGAGAGAGGTGCTGACATGATCGGACTCGGCCTCCTTAAAAGACCATCCTGGCTGAAGGGTGGAGATGGCTGAAAAGAAGGCAAGCACATGTGCGGGGAGACTAACTACGAGCCTCCTTCAAGGCTCAGGCAGGAGATGAGGAATTCTGGGACAGAGTGGTAATGAAGGCAGATGAAAGGGAAGAAATGACTTCAGAAGGGTGCATGTCAGTGGTGAAATCCAACAGGGGGCTGGGGGAACAGGATTTATGATAGGGACTTAGGAAACTGGAACGAAAAATAACAGAGTGGGTTTTTTCTTTCTCTCCTTTGTGTTGTCTGCAGTTTTGCAGGTTTGATCACAGGTTCTATTCTGGACACATTGCACTTAGTGGTAAATCACAAGGGTGGAAGAGAAGAGCAGCTGGGAGGTGTGTACCAGAGCAGTCAGGTCCTTCGGCCAGATTTGCCTTAGGAGTTATTAGTCATCTTTTTTTTTTTTTTCTGGTACCGGGGATTGATCTCGAGAACTTGCGTTTGTGAGGCAGGAGCCAGAACCACTGAGCTAAATCCCCAGCCCTGTTAGTCATCTTTATGTTACCTTTGGCACTATTTCAACTCAGAGATTCCCTTTCCTACTCAGGCAGTCTTTCATACTTATATCCACAGTGTGCCTAGGCTCTTTAATATGGCTTTTCTCCTTTGGATCATACCCTAAGCCAGTGATGACGAACCTTATGGAGCTTTCAGTGATAACAAACAGCCCATTTTGTGCCGTAGGTTCACCCACCACCGCACCAGCCTAGATCTGATAGGCATCAGGTTGGGGAGAAAGGCTTGCCAGATGATTTCTACCTTTTCTCAAATGCACAATATATTAAGGCCTACCTTTTAATCAACATTTGGGTTCCTCCCTTTTTCATTACTTTGTATCAAAATAAAATGCTTAAATAATATCACAATCTGCTACACCAAAAAGATGCTGCTGAAATGGAGCCCTTGGCAGGCCAGAGGATGTTGTGCACAAGGCCAAAAGGTTAACCTGCCATAAATGTACAAAGGAAAATGCAGGGTGGCTGAGGTCTGCTCAGATCTGACCTATGAGAGTGTTAAATGTTTGAAAGTAGAATTTTGAAGAATTATACCATTAACTGGTGGGGAATTATAGATTCATTTAATAAATGATGTTTAGACAACGCATTATTAACTGTAAGGAAAAAAACTTAGATCCCTACCTCACACCAAAACAAAAATTCAAATTTAAAAACCAAAACTGAAAGAGAGAAACAAAAAAGAAAGATCAAATACAAGTAAATGTTTTCTTAATGTTGGGATGGGGAAGCCTAGACATGACATAAAGACAGTTAATGAAGGGAACCAACACATAAAAGTCCATAAAAATCATGCAGACGGGATACAGAGGTCTCGAGTATGGACACAGCTTGTGGAAATGCCATCTCTCTCCCACAGTAATGACTCTAACAAGGGAGCAGTGCACAGAATGTCCAGCTAATGCCTTGGTCCCTTCAAACTCCCCTATAAGGGCTTTTCTGAGAAATGTCAACATTACTGCATCAAAACACAAAGGAGGGTTAGAACAAGCTTCTTAACTCTTTCTTTCCCCTACTATGAAAACCTCCTAAATATGTCTGGGACTTACAGAAATGAGTGCTACAAGATATTCAAGTTTCCAATGCCATAGGGATCTCAGAGAGTTTTCAACTCTTAGAGGTGTTACTGAGGGATTTTGTAAGTTCCATCTCCCAAACCTGTAACATATTAACAAGACCCTCCCTTTCTCTACCCAGTCCTAGGTAACACCTCAGATTCTGAACAAAAGTCTCACATTTGGGTCTGCCTTACCTCACCCTGTCCTTCTCTGTAGCAGCTCCACTGCTTTCACTGGGGCCAGGTGGGGCACCATAGCCCTCTTGAATTAACTGCTATAGATGCTCTATTTGTGTTTATGTATTTGTTGGTTCTTCTGGTGCTGGGGATCAAACACAGGACCCTGTGCATGCCAGGTAGATGCTCTGCCACTGAGCTCACCCACTCCCTGATTCCCTCTTTATAACTTTCTCCATGGGTATCAGTTGCACCTCTGCCCAATATTCTTACCACACTAGAAATCTAAGTTTTAAAGTAACAGTGAAAACATTCTCGGAATATTCCTAGACATATTTACACACTGTTCAAAAGGAGGGATGCTGCAGAATTGTGGCCCTTAACACATT